GGAGCGCTCGCGCACGCCGTGCGCGTCGCGCCGCGCTGCGCGACGGCGCTGGCGAACCTGGGGTCCGCGCGGCGGACCTTCGGGGATCTAGCCGGCGCGTGCGAGTGCTTCGCGGCGGTGAACGACCTGAATCCGAACGACGCGGGGTCGTGGTTCAACCACGCGGTCGCCGCGCGGGCCCTCGGGCGGCCCGACGCGCCGCAGCTGTTCACCGAGGCGGCGACGCGGGACCCCGGCGACGCGGACGCGGCCTACATGGTCGCGCTGTCGTTCGCGGAGAAGGGCGACTACGGGAGCGAGGGCGCGTGGCTCGACCGGGCCTTGACAGCGAATGCAAAACACGCCAAGGCGCTCGTGAACCGCGGGGTGCTGCGCGGCGAGGCCGGGGACCTGGAGGGGGAATTGGAGCACTACGAGCTCGCCGTCGCGGCGGAGCCGGACGACGCGATGTGTCGCAACTCTTTGGCCGCTTGCTTGCTCCTGCGCCAGCGCGTGGCCGAGGCGCTGCCGCACCTCGAGCACGTCGTGCGGACGAAGGCGCTGGGGGAAGTGGAGGAGCTCGCGCGCGCGGAGAAGCTGCTGCCGAAAGTGCGGGCGTTCCTCGAGCAGGCGAAGGCTGCTAAGACGGGGTCTTAGAAGCCTTTGTGGTCTTGAGCGTGCCGTAGCTCGGAGGGGGCATGTTGGGCTTGTGGTGGGGGTTGCTGTGCGTTTCGCGAGGGGCGAGGGCGGCCCGCACACCACTTTTTGGCGGCTGACCATCGGCTGACCCCCCGTAACCCACTTCGTTACCCCCGGCAACATAAGGTCCAATGAGATATACCGAAGGACACGAGCTCCCGAATCGGGGTTGATTTTGAGAAAGATCGCAAGCACACGACCTCCTCCGTGCGATGCCGCGTCTCGCGTCCATTTTACCACCCCCACCCTCGTCCGCATGCGCCCCGACGCCCGCTCTCACCCACATAATCGTATTCCCCGCCTTCCACTTGACCACTTCCAACACTCGCCCGCAATTGTTTGGCCGCGCAACTCGCGCGTTCACTTGGATTCGAGCGCATGCTCAGCTCAAGTTGGATTCCGCGGGTTCCGCCGCCTCCCGTGCTCG